TTTCAAGAAAAACTGAACACTGCACAGCCAAAGATGGTGCCAGGATTCAGAAGTAGATTTAGTACGATCGATCATCTCCAGGTAATCAACGAATGTTAGCTTTCTGTTTGCCGAGAATTTGTCAGTTTTGAGAAGGCTTTGGATTCCGTACTAGATTTGTCGAGGAGTCAAGGAATCGACGAAAGACAATGAACCTGATTGCCATGATTTGCACTAATGTGATTTCTGACATGAAGCTTCACCAAAGGGATGAAACCAAGTTCAAAATCGCGAAGGGTGTCCAACATGGAGGCGCAGTATCACCGAAGTTACTCACAGCGAGGTTTTCAAGACACAACGTTGACAAAATCAGGAGTTGAACGTAAATTGGCGATTTGTTTAAGCCACTTGTAGTTTGTAAACGAAATTCTGATCCTCTTAAGATCGTTGCACCAGCTGCAAGGAAGATTCCGAGATCTGAACTACGCCAGAAGCACAGCAGGACTAAAAATGAGTTTAAACAGCATTCACGTCACTCCGCGACCTCCTGTTGAACTCACTCCACGGACATAGATTTGAAGAAGTTCAAAACTGTTTCTGTCTGAGACCGTTCATTTATGCTGCAACGACTGAATCGACTCTGAGAAATCAACAGAAGAATAAAAACGGCATTGAATGCTTGGAAGTCTGTAAACTTTCCTATCTGGGAAACCGCCTTTGTACTTGAAACGTAAAGTTTTTGATTAGTACTTGCTCCCAATACTAAGCTCTGGGTTCGACGCATGGATCCTTCGTTTGAAAGTCGTTCACATAAACTGTAGACTACGCAACGTAGCGTATCGAGGATAATAAGAAAAACACGAAGGAAGACGAGTAAATGACCAAGAGCACAAATTGGAGTCTGCAATGTTCTTTATTGAATACAGAAGCTAAAGTAGCAGTGGGTTCAACTCAATGCCAGAAGAAATCTGATCTGACCATCGTTGGACTTGAAAGATATTAAAACTCGTATCCAACAGAGAAAACAGCGAAGGAAGGCCTAGAGATCGACTGTAGTATGAGGAGAACGTGTTCGCTCGAAGAAGATGGATGAAACTCGCACAATACACGAGTTGATGGCAACGTCATGAACAGTCATTCTTCCAACAGTGAATCGAAAATGGCTGACAATGATTATGTGTAAAGGAAAGAGAGCATGAACTGTTTTTGTTGTCATTCTTACCTAACGCTGCTAAATCTTGAACAACACCGTAGGACAAATTTATGGTGTATCGCTATTCGCTTAGGCATCTAAATCAGAACAGTTATTGTTCCCACATACTAGGTGTGCTCAACTGTTTGAACTCACGTGCTATTCGTATAGTGTATGATCGTTATAATAATTTTTGTATACGGTGACAGAATGCGTTTATAAAAAAAGGCAATGTAACGTCACTTCGTTTTGTAAACTTGTTCTTTTGAACCATGAATCGAAAAACGGCGAATGATTCATATGTAATTGAATCATTGTTTCAGAAATAGACAGGAATCGTATGCTATTCAAGTTTAAGAATTAAGGGATTTTCAGGATGGTAGGTTGTGATCACGTTATGTTTGAGGCAAACGACAACTGCAACCAGAGGGCATTCTTTGGACTGCCAAGCCTGTGGATCGAATATGGTGGGTTTGTAGGATACTTTACCAGATCAAAATGGAATTTGCTTGAATTGTAGTATTGCTTGGACAGGGATTACTGTATTTGTAAATTTTGTACTTCTGGGATTACTGTATTTGTCTAAATTCAGGGCGGCCTGCTATTTGTATACGTTGCAGCAGGCGAGAGTATACACGAGTCTGTTTTAAAGACTTAGTCAAAGGAGAAGTATTTTCATTTGTAGTCGCTGCGTTATCAAAGAACATTGTAAAGCAAACTGGTTCACCAATATCAGACAGAAATAGGTTACTGCTTGTTGGGTAATCCTTTCTGTAAGTGAACGTAACTTCTGCTGGTAGCAAATAATATTGCAAAACGAAAAGGCCATTCGTTATTTTATCCTTTTCTTACACCTCTACTTGTACCTTTTCTTCGTTTTATTCTCCCCTTTCCCATTCTTCCGCACCTGTTTGTTTATATATTTCTTCTTTTCGTTTTTTTTCATTTTCTTTTCATCTTCATCTTCCATCGCCGCTTCTCCTTTCGGGTCGCGGAGGCAGACGCGTCAGACAGTGCTTC